AGTGGGGCACAGTTTGTGCTACAAGTTCAAAGGACGAGGGGCTCTTCCTGCCAGGCCCTGGCTGGCTCAGGCCCAAAAGCCAGTCTGCTCCCCCCCCCCCCACCAGCCTGGGGAAGCAGGCGAAGCCGTCTGCAGCCCAGGCAGATGCTGTGGCCCCCTCCCCCAGGCACTCAGCCCCCCAGGCCAGCCTGGCCCAAGCTGGGGGAGGTGCAGTGAGTGGGCTTGAGCCCAGCAGCCTTTATTCACACTGCAGCAGCCGTCAGTCCGTCCGTCCAGCCGTTGAGCCATCCCGTGGGGCAGGCGCCCTCAGCTTCGCCCTGCCGCTCCCTCCAGCCGTCCATCGCAGCTTGGCTGGGCACAGAGCACAGGTCTCTGCCACACGGAGATTAACTCTGCAGGGGGAGGGGGAGACATGAGGGTGGGGGCAGGTCTTGCCAAGGGAGGGAGATATGCTGGGCCTGCCAGCCCCACGGCATCCTGTAACCAGCTGCCACCCTGGGCCAGCACAGGGCTGAGCCCCACTGCCTCCCAGGGAAGCTCTGCTCTCCCTGTCCCCCCAGGCCAGCTCCATTTGGGGAGGAGGTACAAGATGCAGACGGCACCAGAAACGGGGTCGGGGGGGGGGAAAGGAGGCGAGAAGCCCCCTGCCTTGCAGCCGCTGCATGTGAGGGGCAGGCGGCTGACCAGAGTCCTACAGGGGCAGAGACTCAGCATTTCAGGTGCACCTGGCTCCCGCCATGCGAGCTGCTCCAGGCTCCCTAGCAGTCTGCCTGCACCGCAGCTAGGGGCGCCCCCAAGGGCAGGGTGAGTCACACGGCCCCCCTAGCCCTGACCTTCAGGCAGAGCCATTAGTGCGGGCTGCTGCCCAGTCCTGGCCTGCAGTGCCCTCGGGGGCAGGGCTGCTCTGCCCCTACTCACCCAGGGACGCCCTGGAGGTCGGCAGGTCGAGCAGGTTGGGGGTCCGCAGCTGGCCAGGCGCGGCCGCAAGGCCCAGGACAGGCTCAGGAGAGTCCTCGCTGCTGCTCTGCCCACCGGCTGGCCTGCCCGCTGCCAGCCCACCAACGCCAGGGACAGCAGGAGCCCTGACACGGGGTTCAGGATGGCCTGGAGGAAGGAGGGGGTCAGTGAGGGGGCAGGCGCAGGCAGGGCCCCAGTGCAACTGTGCTGACACCAACAGCAACCCCCCACCTCCCAACGTGTGGTGTCCCCCATCAGGTGAGCATGGCCCTGCAGCCTCTTGCCCTACTGGTCTCACCACATAGGACCCCCATTCCTGCTGCCCCCCTCCCTTCACGGGACACTCCTCCCCCACTACCCCCTCTCAGGGCACCCCTCCCCCGCTACTCCCGTCCCAGGACACCCCTCCCCCGCTACCCCGTCCCGGGACACCCCTCCCCCGCTACCCCCATAAGTGACCCCAGGGCACCCCACCCCCACTACCCCCTCCCTTCACAGGCACCCCACCACCCCCATACATGACTCCAGGGCAGCCTAACCTTACTGCCCCCCCTGCCCTCTCCCACCACAATGATCCAGGAGGTTCGGATGGCCACGTGCAGCAGCCGCAGGGTCTCCGTGCGCCATGCAGGCTCCAGCAGGAGTAGCCCGTCATTCACCACATTCCCTAGCCAGCTGCGGGGAGCAGAGATGGGGCCTTGCTGACTGATCGGGGGAGGGCTACAGCAGCCACCCCTCCCCACTGAATCGGCAGCCCTCCAGCAGGGACACTGTAGGCAGCCGGGCAGAGCGCTGGCTGGTGCAGGGGGGAGGGGGGGGCATTACCCGGCACTGGGGCAGAGCGCTGGC